CTTGGTATATGTTGCTCCTTGGTTCCCTGCACAATTTTTTTGTCAGCAATTTTAGGGCTTTGATTAGCTAAACTCTGAGAGCTTCCCCGGACCCCTGCCAGGGGCTCTGCCCCTGGACCCCGCCAGGGGCACTAAGGCGGGCCCCTGGGGCCGGATTCATCAACGTTGCGCAAAGTGTATTGCGTATACAGAGTTTCTACGAAGTACGTACGCAAAGCTCGTAGGTGCGATTCATCAACGCAGCGTAGCACCTGCGTACGCAAATGTTGATGAATTCCGGTGTAAATCCACTACGCCATCGTAGCTGCTGGCTGTTGAGGGGCGTGCCTAGCATAAACCTATTACACTGTGCGACACATACCATAGGAACCAAACTGATGCCTCTCTTGTATGTAAACCATATGGCTCTAGCTGTCTACAGGAGTGCTGGGGGATGTGATAGTTGTCCTCATTTTCGTTTGTATGATTGTGTTCAACACTCGATGAAAGCAGCGACACGTACGCGTGCGTGCGTGCGTGTGTGTGCACGTACACGTGCGTGCGTGTGCACGTACACGTGCGTGCTTGCGTACGTACAAGTGCGTGCGTGTGCACGTACAAGTGCGCACGGCGTGTGCACGTACACGGCTAACTACGAACTCGCTTATAACGAAAACAATGCCAAGCTATGACAAAAAAAAGCGTCAAAGGCGCCGCCTGTCTGTGTAGTATGGTAATTATTTATTTATTTTTAGTTGAGTAGTAATTTTATAATGTTTTCTCAATAAAATAGCCATTTTTCGTTGCGCAGCGCTAGCGCGGTTTACAACAGCGTGCAACCTGCCCACCCCTCCACTTGGAAATACATTGTGCCCGCTCACTAGCACCGGAACCGCGCGAGCGTGCGCAACGAGAAATGGCGGTTACAAGTTGATAAACAATCTTCGTCGACGAGTAATATCGCAAGTACAATATAAATTTAAGCGATAGTTTGCTGTTGTATTTTAGTGTTCATAGTAACTTAAGACATTTGTCCGGCAGAGAATGTGTTTTATTTGGCATACCGAAGAAGTTATTATCAGCTAAAAGTTGTGAGAATAAAACTCATACGCAGTTGCCATGTTACGCTCTATAGCCCTGCGGCAACTGTACGCGGGCTATAGACTATAGTTACTAGAGCTATACTAGCTCTAGAACTATAGCCCTCTGCTCTGCCGCAGGGCTATAGAACATACTATGGCAATTTCCAGGGAGTAAGCAAAGACAATGTGTTTCCAAGTGGAGGGGTGGGCAGGTTGCACGCGGTTGTAAACCGCGCTAGCGCAGCGCAACGAAAAATGGCGGTTTGCAACCCCATGCAACCTGCCCACCCCTCCACTTGGAAATACATTGTGTCCGCTCAGAAGCGCCGGAACTGCGCTAGCGCTGCGCAACGAAAAATGGCAGTTGAAAGTTGATAAACAATCTTCGTCGACGAGTAATACAGCAAGTACAACATTTATGCGATAGTTTGCTGTTTAATTGTAGTGTTTATAGTAACTTAAGACATTTATGCGGCAGAGAATGTGCTTTATTTGGCGTACCAAAGAATTTATTAACCGCAAAAAGTTGTCTTTGCTTACTCCCTAGAAATTTCCATAGTATGTTCTATAGCCCTGCGGCGGAGCGGAGGGCTATAGTTCTAGAGCTAGACTCCCTAGAGCTATACTACTACTACTACTAGTAGGCCTACTAGCACTAGAACTACTAGCCCGACCAGGCTGTGCGACGGATTGTCTATACAACGGTATCCTAACCCTAGCGATACCGTTTCTTGGAGCTATAGAACTACCAGCAATATCATATTCATAAAATACATAATAACTAATACACACCACAGAGCATGGGCAAGTAAAACTTCGTCTGGCTTAACCCACATTTTGAACGTGAACCAAGGAAAATCTTTCTGCTAAGTTCAATAACAGTAACACCTTCGAGAGCACATTTGCTCAATTTTGCTCGACGTAAACAAAACAACGTCTCGCGAGAATGAACCAGACATAAAACTGATACATCGCGTAATCATTTCTGAAATATAACTTTCGAATATAAACCAAACTATAATAAAGTAGTTAATGGTAATACAAATTTTTATTTTTATTTTTTAACGTTTATCTTTAACGGTTATCTTGCATAGTTCAACAAACTGATGAATGATTTGTGAACGATGATTGATTACTTGGTTATGTCTGGACTCGTTCATACAGTGAGCAAAGTGAGAAAGCAAATAATTTATTTAAAAAACATTCACAAATATACAGTAGTATACACAAACCACTATTAACAAGTTGCTGTGCGGTGATTACTGTAATGTGATGGAGCACAAGACATGTAACTGGGTGTTTTGTTTGGTTAGTGCTTGGGGGTGCTTGGTCCTAAGTTGGAGTTGGAGTAATCTGAATCTGGATAGTTTTCTGCGTAGCCCACGGTTACGTGGATAATAATGCAGGGATAACTATAGGGAACGCTATAGCTAGCCATGGGGTGTGACCTAGCTTGGGTAAAGCCAGGTAGTTGGCCTTTAGCCGAATGGCACGTAATGATTGATAGTCTCATAGTAATAATGAGTGATCATTCAGAATGATTACTCCAACTCCAAGGTTATAGTGACGCAGTATAAATAAGGTCTATGTCCCCCTGACCTCTGTTTGACCTGGTTCGTTTAGCTATTAATATATAATATATATAGGGTTAGGGTTAGTCAGAAATAGCTAAACGAGCCAGGTCAAACAGAGGTCACGGGGATATATATACTGACTAACGTGACTACGAGTGTTAGTGACCATGAATTTAATTGGCTGTTTCAGTGATCCTAGGTGACCCATGACCGCAGATGATCAGATTCAGAGCAGCGTACTCACGGCATATATTGGGTGTACGTCAGGCTTGCTGTAAGTGTAAGTGTAAAAGTCGGGCAGCGTGCTATGTCATGCACAATCTATCTAATAAACTATGCCACCTCCACATTCCAACTAACATGTATGCCATATATATCCTGCAGAATTGACAGGGCTTTAATTGTAGAGTGAAATCGTGGGGTACAAATTTGTGTATAATATGCATATATGCAAGGCCGTACGCAGGAAATTTTCTGTAGAGGGGCAAATATGCAGGAAATTTTTTGTAGGGGGGACAAAGGTACTCCCCACGCCCTCTATTGCCCTATTTGTCCCATTAAAAGGCATACTCTGAAAATCTCTAGGGGGGGCAACTGCCCCTGCTGCCCCCCCGCTGTGTACGGCCCCGCATATATGCACATGCATTTTTTGTGGCTGACAGCAAACGCCGAACATCATATTCCTTATGCGTGACATGATAGCAGGAAACTCGCTTCATTTTGTGCATAGAGTAAAGTTCTTGTGTAAAAATACTTAGGTAATGGTTCCCTCCACACAGTTTTACTGTAATAATAAAGCCCTGCCCCATTCTGCCAGGAATTCATTACGTCAAAGGTTGACGAGTGGTGTACGTAGTTTACTTGCTAGATTGTGTGCATGATGTAACACCACCCAGATCTAAAATTGGTAATAATATGTTTGACTGGGCGGCCCAATCCTAGTTTAGCACCCCGGATTAGTTTAGCACATTTACGAAAACACATTTGCAGGGTCCCAAATTAGGATTGTGCAGGCTGGGCTTGGGTGTAGCAAAAATAATAAATAATGATCTGTAACATGCAAAATAAATTGGCACAAGCGTAACTTTGTCCGGGTGGCAGCACATCGATCGTGCGGCATCATGTCAGCTGTCAAAAATAAAGATTTCGAAACTCGCTGTTGTTTTATGACAAAAGTGAATGTGTGATTATAGAAATTTGTATGTATATACTAATGTTTATGCACTCACTAAACACACTCATAATATACTCTAAAATCTCATAAAATTCTAGGGTATAGTATCCCTTTAAACAGGATAGATAAAGTGAAATTTATTCAGGGTGGTGACTTCAGGGCTATTTGGTGTAAGTTTTCACTAAGAAAAAAGTAGATGGCGGAGAAAAATAATAGATAGGTATATGTATTGAAACTTAGCTGGCTTTTAAAGAGATTACGTCTAGCATTCAGGTGCTTTCACATACTCAGTTTGGCCCAGAACTTCGAGAGCACCTTGACCTGACAAGTGCCACTCTTTATGGGATCCTATATCGTATCTTTAAGCCCATATCATGAAATATCTATAGTGTGTATGTTCATGCTTTTTTTTTAAATTCCAGTAATGGGTAATGCCTGTGATCACACACAGGCTGATCTGTTATCATCCAAAGAAGCGAAGTTTGTGCAAGATCAAATAAAAGAAAACTGCGTTGTTGTATTCTCAAAATCAACGTGTTCCTATTGTCGCGACGCAAAAGGACGATTGGAAAAGCTGAATGTTCCATTCAGCAGAATTGAGCTAAATCAGCGGGCAGATGGAGGCACCATACAGAATGTGCTACACACTATGACAGGAACACGAACGGTACATATTTGCAATAACTTAAATACAGTAACGGAGCCATAACTATGTTGTCATATTTGTGACAGCAAGTTCCACCTTTCTAACAGTCCTGCATTGAGACTCTTATTTGCCGACCAACTGAAAATGGTGTGGTGTTCCAGTTTTTAAAAATCATATAGTTACTGAATTCGTATACTACAATCATATACTACTGAAATAAATACTATATACTACATGCTACAATACAATAATTTACTATATGTAATACTATTTACAATATACTATATACTGCATCATATACTACCTGCTACAATCATATACTTTCTCTATCAAAGCATGTACTACTGAAATCTTTTTGTGATTTACATATTCGAAAAAAAGGATGGGTATAATCACATGCTGGGACTGGGGTGAAAACTAGAATTTACCTGTTAACCACCTCCATCCTTGACCCTGATGACCTTTGTGGATTGTCCTTGACATGTCAAATGTAAATAACCTTCGATAGCACCGTTTAGCGTTGTGCTGTTATTGCAAGTATACATATACGAGAATAGGTATACTACAATCATTTAACTAGCTCTAATTATAGTTGCTATACTTCCGTTATATCCTAGCTAACTGTGTTTCAGGTTCCAAGAGTGTTTATCAATGGAGTATGTGTGGGAGGTGCGGATGAGCTAAGGAGTCTTGAGAAAGCAGGCAAACTTCAGGATATGGCTGCAGTATGTTCAGGGCTATAATACGCCACAAGAATATAACTAGTCATAGTATGTTTACGACTTGCAAAGTGTGTCACCCAATGTATGTAATGAGTAAATGTATTATGTAAAAACGAGATTAGCATTTATGTAAGGTGTCTGAAATGTCTTATTTATAATAAGTATTTTAATATTACCAATGAATGCACAATATACATTAATAACAATACAGTTTTTATGTGTAGAGACATTAGGGCTGCTGTTTATTCAAGATAATTAAAATAAAAAATTTAATATTACATAACAATTTTTATATCCTTTCCTATATTTAAAAACGTTGATGCAGGAATTGAGTACATAATTAATTGTAAACTACATAATTGTACTAATTGTAATTTTAGTAAATTTGATAACTACTGTAAGTATGTAAAACAATTAAAAGTATTTATAAAATGTCAATACTGACACCAAGTTATAACAAATTTATAATTAATAATATTTAACCCAACAGCGTATAATTTAAAAAAAACCACATTAATTTACACCTGCAATAACTACACAATCCACCCAGCACCCAACCCTTTTAGTTTCGTATCACTCTAGTTGATATGTAATACCATAGCTTCAGAGAGTCAAAGCAACACCAGGTAAGTTCGGCCGTGAAATCACAACAGGTGATCATGAGCGAACTGCTCGGTCATCTCTTACGAATAGGATCAAGAGCTAACTCTAAGGTATTATTAGCTCTTTATAGGATGTCTATGAGATTATACTCAACAAAAGTCTTGACTGCCACCTCTGTCATGAAGTGATCACTTCTCAAAACTCACGTCACATGCGACCATAGCTTGTGCTATAGTCAGTACGTTACAATTTGAATGGGATGCTTAGTACATTAACAAAACAGTATATTCGCAAATAACTTCATGATACAACTAACGTGGGTGAATTGACTCAACTGAAGTGTAAATAAATTCATGATAGTTTATATAATAATAATAAACAATATGCTTGACATGTATCGTAGATGTGTAAATCAGATCTAATAATTACCGTTATCACAATTAATAATTATCCACAACAAAAATATATATCTGTCTCACAGAATCTGGCTTACGGAACATGTGCTCTGTTTAACTCGCTCTCATGGTTGTCGTTACTACATATATGTACAAAGATGAAACCAAATTAGGTATCAACAACCATGAATACAACTTTGATTGAAAACACATTGTGCATAGTTGATCTGGAGATGGAAAAGCAATTTCTCGTCAGTCACGAGACAAATATAGATATAGCAATAGGAACTGCTATAAACTGCACTGCACTGCAATGCTTATAGGAATGCTTGAGCAATATTTAGATTGTCATAGCTCTTCAATCCAGATGACAACTGTTGTGTTGGATAAGCAACCTTTCATTGCGCACTTCTCCATCTGGAGTTATCACATTGTCGAGGCTAGGGTCTGGTGTTCCCTTGGCCCAGACCTGCTCTGTCGCAGAGGCAAATACCAGGAAAAACAAACAGCCAAAAGTGTATACAGCTGCTGCTATGTAGAAAACTATCTGCCACTGGTGCCGGCTTGGCTGCAACAAACAAAATCCATCAATAGTAAAGTAAACTTAAATGACAAGTTTAATAGATGTTTTATAATTATCTACAGTTGAATTATGTTACATGCAATATTTTGAGGTTTAATAGCCAAAAGTAAGATAATGTTAACAAACTGTTTCAGGAAGTGTAGATTATTGTTTACACCAATAATATGGCAGTATACTATTTGTGGGGTGTTGCTATCCCCCGGGCGTGGAGGGACAGTCACGTGATACAGTTGACGTATACTTCAAAGTACAAATCTTCCACACAAAGATTCCACAGTCATACCTCCGTACTAGACATGGCCTTATATATCCCTAACCCTAACCCTAATCCTAACCCTAACCCTAACCGTAACCCTAACCCTGATCCTAACCCTAATCCTAACACTAGTGCTGCCACATTGCGGTACTGTCCCTCCACGCCCGGGGGATAGCATTTCCCCTACTTGTGCTGCCTCTGGTGGTGACGACGTCAAGTTGGGCTTTTGAATTTTGTTATTGCACATACCATACCAGGAGCTTGCAACAAGTAAACTTATATTTCTCCCTATTTAACTGTTAAAATTGGTATTTAGTGCATGTGCATAAGCGAATTGAAACAAATAGTGAAACAATATTACAATCCTTTTAAAAGAACCCCCATTGGCACTTGCAATCTGGCACATTGCATCACCTACTGTTTAGATGGGTTCCTGGTCGTTCTCGCATTGGTGCACGCAAACACTTAAATCTATTATCCTAATATGTATTTTCTCTAGTACCTGGGCTCCAACCGATGAGCATTGACCTTCAGCAGGTATATTACTTTGGTTACTGTATCAGCTTTCCCCAGCAAAGCTACTCCAAATTATGTGGGCAAGGTTGTTACCCTCATGCTAGCAACTGAGCAAGGTAAATTTATTTCTACAGCTGATGTTACAACAGCAGTGACCACGGTGGGACTCATTACTCTAATGTTTCATCCCACAGTCAAGTGTTTTTTATTAGACCACCACTGCCTACATGGCTGCCCCTAATATCGCTCAAAGCTTTACTTACATTTGCTGTCAATACTCCAACAACCAGAGGAGAGAATATGCCAGGTAGAGTTGCCAAGGTATTAGTTATGCCCATCAGTGTACCTGAAACACAAAAGACTGACTGCACTCACTTGCACACATCAAACAGCAATGTTATATATAAAATATTATATATACCATGCACAAAAAGCAAAGATGAAATATTCTGCTGCACATTAAAATCAGACATCAGCATTGTATAGGATTATAATTATAATTATATCACTCAAACACTAAACATGTACTTCAATGATTGGCAGAAGGAGTATACCAAGCAAAAAGAATGTTCCATAAATGTTTTCAATAGTCTTAGACTAATTTTGCATAGTCTATTAGATATCCAAAGTTCTATATAAATATTTGGGAAACTTAACCTGCATGTCATTCCCTTTTTCCTCTCCTCTATCCACTCATACACCCATCTGTAAGTCCATAAACCCACCCAGCCAGCCACACACCCACCCATCTATATCACTAACCACATCCATCCATCTCTCCATCTATCAATCCATCCATCCATCCACTCACCCATCCATTCATCCATCCGTCCATCCATCCATCCGTCAATCTATCCGACCACCCATCCATCCATCCATCCATCCATCCATCCATCCATCCATCCAAATATCCATCCATCCATCCATCCATCCATCCATCCATCCATCCATCC